GTCGAGCTTGCAATTTTTAATTAGATATTATTAGAATTTTTGAAACTTTGTTTTGTAGTCTAATAGTAATATAATTTATATTTGAGCACCGACAAGACTGTCAAAGAATAAAAAAAAAAAAAAAAAAAAAGAAAAGAAAACTGATTTATCATTACTAATAAATTTTATGCAAAATTATGTAATGCATAATATATAATTATTATTATTAGCATAAATTATACAAGGAATATTTTAGTATTGGAAGTTTTCTGTTTTTATCATTATTATAATACATAGAACAAAAGCTTTTCTAATTTTGATACGGCCTCTTTTAATTCTAATACTGACAATTTCTTTGAAAAAATTGATTTTAATGAAATTAATAAGCAAGTAAATTTTTAAATATGTTTTTGTTTAAATTAAAAAAGTTAGATATTTACATATTGAATAATAATAAATTATTTAAAGTAATGATAATATTGAAGAAATTACTTTACTAAAATTTAACTGCATAGTATATTCAATTTTTAGCTATTTTGTTGAATATCTGCCTACTAATCCTGAAGATTATGCAGTTATATATAACTTTATTAACAATGAAAATTATTCTGAAAAGCAAAGTAAAGATGATATTCAAATTCAAAAATTAATAAAAGACAAAGCTTGAGTTGCATTTTATAATATAAGTAAATTGTATTTTTAAATAATATAAAGTATAATAAATTTTATTATTATTAGATCTAATACTCACAAAGTAGTAAAGGCAAAAAGAAGCTCTAATGTTAATTGACTATTTTTTGATAAAAAATACAAGTTATTAAAAATTAGCAAAAATGTAAAGATGTTAATGTTTATCTTTTTGCATATAAATATATAATTAATTACAAACATACTAGTATTGATTTCAATTCAAATATTTTTCAAACTATTAAAAATACTAATAAATCTTAAAGTATTCAAGCTAATACTTTGTTATAATATATATTTAATATTTATTTATATTTAACTATTAATTATATTTTAAAGATTAAATAAAAATTTACTATTTATATTAGGCTTTATCTTGCAGTTAAAAAATACCTTGTCTGTATATTCAAGCTAATAATAATCAATGCTCTGGTGATTTAGTTATTAAAAAAAGATAAATACAAGCTCTTAATTCAAATGAATTACAATCAAATATTAATCTAAATAATAAATACTTTCTTGGTTGTACATCTTGGAAGTATAGTACTACTAGATATCAATATATACTACAGTCAAACCCCCTAAATGCACCCTCCCTAAATGCAGCACCTCTCTAAATACATGTCTTCTTTTGGGCCCAACTAATATTACATCAATAGATTTTTACCTCCCTAAATGCAATATTTCTCTAAATGCACATACTAGAGTTGGTCTCGATGATGTGTATTTAGAAAGGTCTGACTATATTTACAGAAACTATTGATTGCTGTTTATTAAAAAATTTAATTAATAGAATGGTAATTAAATAATATTAATTAATTTTAATTACAATTTAATATTTTATTATAATTATTAATTTAATTTTTTTATAAACTTAGTATTAAACTAATCCAAAATAAATAATAATTGTAATACTATTTTATTAAATAGTTTTAAATAATTAATATGCTGTAAGTAATAAGTTAAATAATTTTTTAATAATTATATTAAAGTTATAAAATTAATATTAATTATCAATTTTATATATATTATTTAGCATTTTCATATATAAATAATAATAGAAATCTAATCAAAGCTAATTTAATTTATTTGATGCAATGTTACATTTTATTGGCTTACTCCAATAGATTTAATTAAATGCCTATATATTGCTCTTGTGAGTATTGGTGAATATACTCACCTATCTTCACCAACTAGTTATATTCTAGAAGCTATTAAAAATCAGATTAATAAAGTAATTAATAATGTTTCTGAATATTTAGATTATATTACTTCATAAAAAATTATTTCAAGTAATAAAATTTATTTTTTATTTTTTATAAAATTTATAAACCAATATATTTTATATAATTTAAATAATCTTGTAAATGCATATTTTGAAGTTAATATATTATTTGAAAAATATATATTACTTAGCAATTTAAACTAGCTTTGATATTTAGTAGATCATATACAACAAGCTAAAAATTCATATAGGTAAAACATTCTTAAAATAGTATATAATTTTTAAAAAAATAAAAATAAAAAATTTATAATTATATTTAACAATTAAGAATTAATATTTAAAAAATAATAATATTGGAGCTTAGTATCTGTAATCTTGGTTATACTATTTTGAATATGAGCTTTGATACACTAATGCCAAGAAATTAAGATAATCAAACCTGTTTGGAAAGACCCAAGTAAGAAAATAGCTAAAATCTTTAACAATACTACAGAAAGACTAAATTTGAAAGTTTGAACCAAACTAATAAACCAAGTATCAAAAACTCTGTAAATAAGAATTTACCAACCAAATCACCAATTCAGAAAACCAGAAATTGACAAAAGTATACTAGTGCATACCAACTGTATTACTGGCTTGAAAAAACAGTAACAAAAGCCCTACCTCTAGCAGACCTATAGATTAGAAGTTTTGGCCAATAAACATGAAATGGTAAAATATATTGAATACTCTGGAGAACTAGAATTTTGAAAAAAAACACATACTAAGAAAGTATATACCAAGATAAAATAGGCTAAAGGCATCTAAAGCCAGATTAGAGTTAAACCTTTCAGGTTATTAGATTGGAAGTAAGAGATAGACTAATTAAGAAATTATGAAAAAGAAAATCAGAATGTGGGTATTAGAATAGAAAGTGAACCTTATAAGAGCATAGTAGTTACTAAGCTATACTACAAGTAGAATCTTCAAAGACTACATATAGCCAGGTTAGCCAGAATAGAGTACAAAAAGCTCTTGTAGATTTATCTTGAGGATACTTGTGTATTTGCTTAATAAAAGAATACAAATTGGTAATTAGTTAGTGGAAACTCAGAATAAAATACAAATTTTAATATGATTAGCTAGTATTAATGCATGAGTATGCTATAGGAATAGTTATAATCAGAAGGTTTAAATAAGTAGTTTTAGTTTAAGCTACAGATACAGTAGACATGCCAAAAGCATAGTAGCTAGTTGTATTTTAATTGCAACTATATTAGTATTACCTATTAATAAAATATTGTCTGACTAAAGAAATCATCTTAAAACTAAAAAAAAAATTAATTAATATTTAATATTATAATTATAATAATATTTATTATAAAATTAAAGGCTTTTTTAAAAATAGTCATACAGTATAATGATTCTTTGTATAACTAAAGAATAAGCTATTAAACTTTATAAAGCAAAATGTTTTTAAATACATTTGACTAGTATTTAAATTATAAATTTGTACAGGATGAAATAAATATATTCAAGCTTAATAAATATAATGAAAATTATCAAGTAAGTATATATAGTTAGACCTTCTTAAATGTAACATTTCTAATACATATCTATGTAAAATCTTTTTAAATGTATACTTTTTTTTAGCTCAACTTAATATAACACTTGTAGATTTTTATCTTTCCAAATGTATAACTTCTCTAAATATATATTTTTAAAAATTTTTACTATAGTTCTGACACTATGCATTTAGAGAAGTCTAACTATATATTATTTTATATTTTTAATTATAAATTTTATTAAATAATAACCAATAAATTATTTTATTATAGTATTAATATATACTAAAATTTTTATAAATATTTCTGATACAAATGTATATAGTTGTCCTCTTCTATAATTACACAGTTGGGCATATACCTATCTAGTAATAGTATAGAAGTGTAACTATATAAAATTACTTCTATAAAATCACATAATATAAAATTATAAATACTGTATATATAATTATAAAAAAGTAAATTATAAAAAATCTTTTTTATCTGAATCTTGTGAGTTCTGTGATTACAATTAGGGTATTATTTCAACTTCATTATATTTTGTAGAACTTATTTTAAAATTCTTACATTTTCTTTTTTTAATTAATAAATATGCAATGAATATAAAGTAGTTATTTATCTTGTATTTACAAACTTACAAAACTTAAATATTATGCAGATTATCAAATCCAGCTAAATTGAAAAGAGCAATAAATAATTTAAAAGTAACCAATTTAACTTCTTTGCTAGCTGTAATACTAAATCTAACTCATCGCTAATCTTACTATTAACCTTACTACTAACTCTAAGTTAACTAATATAGACATTTCTTAGTGAATACTTATGGCTATAACATAGAAATCATTAGAGATTCAATTTGCTAAAAAATATTATCTAGATACAATTCAAATATGTTTTATGGATAAATATACACACCACACTTTGTAATATGCTAATTTATCACATATATATTTAAATTATAATTTGTAAATTTGTATAATAGCAATTTTATATATGCAAAAAATTAATACTAAATTAGAATTAAAGTTAGAGTTAGAGTTAGCAGTCAGCAGTTAGAGTAAAGCAGTGTTGTATTAAGACAAGAATACAGACAATAGACAGTTCAGAATGAGACATCTCAGACATGTCTGCCAAAATATTAACTTCTAGATGATAAAATTATAATAAGGGCTACTCTTCAGAATGTTTGATAGACTCTTATGTATAATATAACACTATCATGAATACAGAAATTTTCTGGGAATGGGACATTGTCCAGAACTATTTGTGTTCCTGCAATTTTAATTGAACAATGTTCAAACTTAACACTGAGGTAGAGTGTAGTATATACTAAAATTTTGCAAAAAATTTTTTTTTTGTTAGAGCTCAAAAGGCAGTTTTATGGATAGCATTTTGAGCTATTTCAAAAATTTAAAAAATTTCTTTATTTTTGTTATACAAAATTAATTTGTATATTACACTCAATCTTTAAATTTAATTGGTCAGTTGTTAAAAATGTAGTATATAAGCACATTGCAGCATGTGATATCTAATTAAGTTATATTTTAAATAATCTAAATTTAATTCAGATTTTTATGGATATAAAAAATTTTTAGATAATCTGATTTTAATATATAATCTGAATACAAATTAATTAATCTGAATTTACTAAAAAACTTACAAGCTAGTAGTAATTATAGTATATATACCCAAGTAACATAGAAGCTATAAAAAAAATAGAAGTCATAGTTCAAAGTAAAATAAGTGAGTCTTAAGACAATATACTTACAATAATAATAGAAGATTTTAATTATATTACAAATTTAGTATTAGATAAGTTATTACAAATTAATAACAATAAAATATTAGCAATATATAGTTGGCTTAAAAATCAAGGCTTCACAAATATATATCAACTATTCAATTTATACAAAAAAGTATATCTAGAGCAATAGTATAATAACTACAAAAATAGATCAAATATAGATATTAAATAATTTAATAGAAATGATACAAGAAACTGATATCTGCAGTATAATAACAATTATATTAAGTAGCTATAATCTTGCTTTTATAAAAGTTAAATAGTATATAACTATAGTCTGACTTCTCTATAGTCATACTCCATATAGTCACACCTTTATTTAAGCATATAATATTGTATAACAAATTTAAATATAGTAAAAAACCTCTTTATAGTCACAAATCACTTATAATCACTATCACAAAAAA